CCGTAGAAATAAAGCTCCGTTTTCGTGACTGATTAGTGTGGATGGTAGGCCTAACCGTAGAAATAAAGCTGCATTCTCAAATTTCTCCGGCGCAGTGTGGACGCTTCGTAAGTCACACCTTCACTCTCTCTTGATATATGAAAAGGAACATAACAACACAGATATAATTTTCCTAGTTTTGCATAGTTTACAACCTAAAGAAAATAATATTGACCTTAACATCGTGTTACGAGTGAAAGTATCAGCTTTACGGCTCGAGGGATTATTTCTGGTTTGTTATCCCAGGAAAATGACTTCACTACCTTGTACATGTATAAACCCGTCAACGGTTAAGATATCTTCACTACTTGCTGGTTCAATGATGTTTGAGCTTTCTCTTTTTTAACTGGTTATCTCAGAAATTCACGAGAGAAATGCAGCTATACCTGGGTTGGCTGCCGATTTTGAAAGATTTCAACGAAGGACTGAGTAAAGAAATTGCACACAGAGCCCACCTAGAACAAGAAATTATCAAATTTGAGGTGAGAATATATATTTTATTTGTCGGCCGGGAGGTCCGCATTGGGAAAAACTGTGCCTGAGGCCTTGAGTTCGGCTCAAGACCGCGGGCCGACGGCCGTTCTCAAGACCAGGGTCATTACGGAGGCATTACGGAGCTGTTTTATTCCCGTATTCTTAATATGAACACAGGTTCCCTTCATACAAGAAGTTTCAGGCGTATACACTTCTCCGTTTTTAGATACAGATGAACTAAAAATAGCTTTACGGGCCCGAAAAGTTTCCGGGGCTTTCGAGAAAAAGGCCCTAGGACCGGAAAACAAGAGGATTATTATTTTTCAGTACGGTTGCTTTGAAAGCAACATCTGTGTGGAATTTTATTTGAAGCTGTTAAGTTCAAATCTGGCGTACGTGTGCGTTTGACATTTCGGGCACAAAATTCAATACTGTTTGCAGAATTTGTTGGGCTGATTTTACATGTAACACTGTGTCTGGAAATATTACGATCACATTAACAAGGTTGGTTTTAGGTCGTTGTGACAAAAATTGATGTTAGTGAAAAAGAAACGCACAACTTGAAGTAAAAAGCGACACACATTCACGAAAAATCAAAAAACACTTTATTTGCTGCGTTGTTTGTCTCTGTGTGGATTGTTCACATTTTACGTTGTTTTCCGGTGTAAGAAAAAGCTTGAAAAGTTGCCAAAGTTGGAAAATTTCGAAGCGGTCTGCGACCGGGGTCCGGATGGGAAAATCTGGATCGCTGGAACGCGCGCGATTAACCAATCAGATTCAAGGATTTAGGATTCCGGACCGCTGAGAAGATGGAAAAAAACAATAAACTTTAGTATACACCACACAAGTGAATAGTGTTTTTCGCGCTCTGATTAGTCAACTCGGAGGTGATTAGCAGGTACTATTCAGCTCAGAGCAGCCGGCGCGAGAGATTTTAAAATTTCCGACCGCTTGTGACACATAAAATAACGTTGTGGTCCGCTAATTTGTCAGCTTGTGTGGTATATACTGAAACAATTATTCACCTCCACTGCGGTGAATAATTGTTAATTATTGCGTGCAATAGAGGACTGAAGATTGAAAAGACAGTCGAGTATTCGACTGAGTAACCATATCATCAATATTGTTGTAGTACCAATATAAGACAGCAATTCTACGCGCCATTTAGCTTTATACGTTGCTTTCAGAAACTGAACCGCGAGCGAAATATTTCTGGCATCATTAAACCTAACTGCGATTGCAATAATATTTAATTTTAGTAAAGAAAAAACAGCTTAACCAAAATGCAGAAACATTTTTCTTAACGATATAACAATGCATCTTTCAAAAGAACTAAGAGAGTTCCTGAGTATTTATTTATAGCTATAGTCCATGAGAGAATGGACGATACAAAAGACCTAAGGGACCAAACAACTAATGGGATGTAAATGTAAAAAATTAACAAAATATTTTTTTCCCCTCAGGAGGAACATGCTCGTTTACTACAAGACAGTCATGAACGGAAAATGGAAGTAAGACATACAGCTGTGATGTTCAACTATCCCCACTAATGATGTGGTCATAACTTCTCCTTACCTTATATCAAAAACCAATAGATAGGTTATGAGAATAAAGAACCTCGTCATCCCCTTAAACTCATGTTGTAAACTCATGTAAGCAAAATTTTCTCAATTAAAGTGATGCAAAATGTATGAAACAGCATAAGAAGAGTTTTGATTTTGATCTAACTTTCGCTTTCCTGTCATGCTGGTTCATACAACGCCTCGTCATTGCAGTATTTTATTTGAAACAGAAAGCAGTTTGGAGCACAGCATAATATTAGGATGGCAGGAGAGCTCCTTTTATTCTTAATTATTTCAAGTAACTAGACGTTGTTTATACATTTGGTGATTCCCTAATTACTTGTGACAACAAATCCTCTGTTTTCAACCCCACATTTTTTCTACATACCTTCATACTCACTTAACTCTCTCAGGTTGGTTCCACTACCACCCACTGTAACACATATTTCTCTAAGCTGCCATCCTCTCTCAAAACAGTTTGAAATGTTTGTGGCAAAGCAAGAAGAAGAACTAAAGAGACTCGGCGAACACATGGTAGCTACGGCCAAGGCTAAACGAGGTCAAATGGATAACATGATGAAAGCGAACATGAGGCAGGCTAAAGACTGGCGACCTCTTATCCAAGATAGTCAGGCATTCAACCAATTACTTGTGTAAACGCAAAAATGAAATGAAAGAATTATGCAGCAAATGATTCAGAACTTGAAACAGCAACTGCAGCAGAATCAGAGTAGACAGTGGGAGGTTAAAAAGCCAGGATTCCTTGATAAAGGGTGTAGCGTCATGTAAGCCCTATCAAATCGTCCATTAGCTTAAAAATTTTGATTCAGTTTGCCTGCATCTTTCTTACTGGTTCATCACGTATCCTGTAACAACTCCAACTCGTGAATTGCCTATTCATTATTAGGAGTACAGCCGTACTCACCGCAAGCTTTTGATTCTTTAGTTTTTTTCGTACTGTAGTATAACTGACTTGAAGATTATCGTAAAGAAACTGACTAAACGCTATGAAGGCAGTTTCTAACACAGTTAATGGATTATTTTTCTACATCTTGCGTTGCCAGCCTACGCTTCGTGGCCCCATTATCCTAACAGGGAAAATGAGAGATGGTACCATCGTGATAAGTTGTTGGGATAGACACTTTACCTTCACAGTATCCCTCACACAGATGTGTAAATGTTCACCTAAAGCAACGTGACAAAAATCCAGTTTGTAATCGTGGAATTAAGATTGATATAAAAAGAGATTCCACGCCTTTTTCTTTGTTTATATTGTTTGATATAATGTTAACATTGGCACGCTGATCACTGAACTGGTTCGCGGTTTCCACGTATTTTAAAAGAGGTGCAAAAATGTCGGAAGTAAGAGTTTCCATTGCAGTCCGTGCATAATGATTTCTGTAAAGTTCTACTTCTGAAAGAGTCTGTAAGCTTACAATACCTGGAGAAATATTTTATTGAGCAAATATTCGGGGAAGGTAAACCCTAAATTTTCGGTGTGGGTCTACTTGTAACCATCACCCTTGTGGCTGCTTCTAAGCCACTTGACCGGAAGAGTTTCAAACCCAAAACGACACAAGTCGGTTTCTTAACACTGAATTACAAGGATGCATGATTTGCCCGAGATAACAATCTGTGTAACAGAAACGAAACGAAATAAGCTTATTTTCCCAGCACATCGCTAAAAAAGACTTTACAACACTTCGCAGAAAGTTCAAAGAACTGGTCCTTACCGTTTAGGTCGTCTGTAACACATACGCTTCGATGGGAAACGATTTTGCTTTCAACATTCACATTTTTACGATAACTACAGAAATTCTCGCGGACAGACACATGGATTTATAATATTTGCGATGCGTCAACGAGCCAGAGCAGACGATTTGACAATTTGTTATCGTAAAAAACAAATTAACGTCAGTTTTTCATGCGTCTGTCCTGTTATTGACAATGAATTTCGTCATAACATTGTCAAAGTAGTCTGCGGATCCACTCGGCTATCACCTCGTGGCGTTATGACAAAACTCATGATCAATAACAGGACAGACGCATGTGAAAACTGACGTCAATTTGTTAAATCTCGGCCTCACGCGAAGCGAAAACAAAATGGCGGTACGTAAGACTAATGAGCGGTCGCTCACTTGTTAGAATACCCGCTGGCACGCAATCTGGCAGAGCTGCAGCCACAGACAAAAGATGATTTTCCATGCGCGTTGTTCCGCATAACAAAAAAATCGATTGGCCCATTGAGACCTTTCTCAGTTAACCCAGAAATGGCTTCTGCTCGCGTAAACATTTCAGAAGAGAAAACTTGAAAAGCCAAGAGGAACTTGGGGAAGCGAGCTGCTGCATTTCAGCTTATTGCACAGCGCTTATCGACATCAAGAGAGGATAAAAAAAAAACCCGATAAATTAGTCCCTTCTTATTGGAGAGTGGAAAGTTAGAAAACAATTTTTATACAACAGCTGAAAATTGTAGAAATAACTAAAATTTGTAGAAAATAGGAGGAAAAAGAGAGGTGGACATCAGTTGCCACATACAAACTTATTTTAACAATTTGTTCCTTTTCTTATCTTACTTATGCAGTTTTTATCTGTACAATTTATATTCATTTTTTATATTCTTATGCATTCTTAGATATTTTATAGTAATATATTCTTAGATAGTTTAGTTTAATATTTATAACCAATTGTAAATACATTTTTACTTTGTTATTTTGTTTTCTTGGCGCACCTGTAAACTAGCTAGTGCGTCCTGTAGACCCTGCTTATCAAGTCTATGGGACGTACTGTTACTATAGCTAAGTATGTTGTCCAAGTAAAATAAACTATGTCTATTTCCAGCAGAAATTAAGGAAAAGAGACAGCCGTTGTCATTTTTTCCTTCACCGAAAATATCCAATGGTTGATCACTAAAATTGTTCGAAAACAGCACTTACAGACCTTATAAGACTTTAAAAGGCGAAAGAAGTGAAAAAAAAAAATGATTTTTTTTTCATGCAAATGGACCCTTCCCAACATTTAATTATAGGAAACCTTAGACAAAACTCTATCCAATCAAATCGTGTGTTTCCAGAACCAGAGCCAGAGCCATTTATTTCTCGTGTCAAGCCAAGCCAGCTAAGGGAAGGTGGGGGGGAGGACTGCTGCTCTGGGGGCGAGAATGGGAAGCTTTCCGTTATTCGCCTTGGTGCTCCTTGATTTTTTTCCGCTTAGCTCCAACTAACCGAGAACTTCAGACGGGCTTCTCTTTCAAGAAACAAAATCAATAGCACTCTTCTAGCCCTCGACCAGCGGTCGAAATGCTCAATAAGGATTCTGGGTGTCAGATGAATCACTCGATCCCAGATCCCCAGAGCATTCGCTTTCTTCACTGTGCAAAAGAGGGAAAGAGATTTCATTCATCTCCACTGTGTAGCCAGTTTCATTTATTTATTTATTTATTTATTTTTAAATTATAAGGGGACATTATCGAAATTTGAAGACCTTGCCAACCGGAGCGGCCAGTAGAAACAAGTAAATTGCGTTGGGTGGGCAAACGATCTCGCACGTTTACTCTTAAGTGCACGCAACTAAGGGCTCAATAGAATCAATCTGAGTTAAATCGCGTTGGGTTGTTAAGCGTTGAAAACTTTAGTTGATCTGATCTGAAAACCCTATCAAACCTTAGATAGCCCAATTTGTATTAAAACCTGTCTCTACTTCAGTCCTTCTTTGGGCGCGACGTCACCATCAAAAACCTCTGCGTGACGACCCAAATAAGGAGACGCGGCCATCTGAACCAACATCATACCCAGTCTTAGCCTGCGTAGCAAGCGTTCTGACACGAAGATCCTTTTCCGCATTCTGGCAGCGTGCGAATTGGAGCTAAACACTTTAGCTGGGTACTGTAGAAGATTCAAACATTGACAATCTGTTATTGCTCTCTCGAAATTCACGGTTCGTTCAATCATTCAAATCAGAATAAAGGTTCATTTTTAATAACGACAATCTAAAAACAACAACATTACCACGCCATCTTGAAGGCGTGCTCATCCATACTTAACCATGCTACATTGCGATCATAGTGCGTGACGTTATGTCACGACACTTGTAATGGCATCCGTGACAGGTGCGCCTCGCACCTAGCAAAAATATATGCACCCCAAACTACATTGCTCCAGTTTATTTGAATCTTCTTAGACAAATTGACTAGAGATGAGAATACAAAGTTAACAAGGTACAAAGGTATATTGGACAACCCAACCTAGCTAGAGTTATCACTCAACTCTACCTGATTAAAAAAATACAGAGTACAAATGTGAACTAGAAAACGTTTACAGTGAAGAATCACAGCACGATCTTTCCAGAGTTCAGATGAAGGTAAGACTACCGTTTATCAACGTTGGGATTAGCACCTGATTGGTTAGTCTCCTTCACAGTCGTTACTAGAGTCGTCACGCAACGCTTCTCCCCATCGTGAGGAGAAGCGTTGCGTGACGATCCTAATAAGATTGGTTGAAAATTAACGTGAGCAAAACGTGCACTTTTGACCAGTTAGAGAGCTTTTGCAAATGCCAACAAATGGCTTTCCGCAATCAACTAAAAAGCAATCTTTCTAATTCATACAAAAGGCCTAAGGGTTTGCTGTAAACAAACTGTAAAGGGCAGTACGGTTTAAAAGATTAGTGGAAATGTTTCCTTACTTATTGATAATTCTCAATTTTAAGCAAGCAGTTGATCATAACGGATCATCGTGAGAGGAGAAATTTTCTGGTCTACATAATCTATTCAGGGCATTAAAAAAATATGAAATACGAAGTTAAGATATTAACATATCCAAGTAGATCTCTGTTTGACTCTGTAAAATTTCCTCAGACACTCGACTACAATGAACTAATTTACAACTGTAGCATCAGCATTTTAACTTGTCTAACTTAAGGTAAAATACATAAAACTATTTTCTGTGCATGGTGCCATGTACTTAACTGTAGCAACAAAGAAAATCTAAAATACGATACCATTAAAAATTAAAAATTAAATTATCCGCTAATAACTAGTGCCATCCCATTTAAAACTCTATCTTTTAACTCTATCCCAAGCTCAGGAAGGGAAATCACTATAGCTTCCCATGGTTATCTAAAAATTAGCTACATAATTGAAAGAAATTTACAATATTCCATGTACTCTATCAACTGTGAACTTGTAAATGGAATGATCTCTTTTGAATAATTAACATAATCCCTTCTTTAATACATAGTTCCTTTTTGTTGAACGACAAAAAACGACACAAAAGGAAATAATAAAATAGAACAGAATGGAATAGGAAAGAAACAGAAAGAAAAAAAAATCAAGAAAGTGACATTTTGCTTAGTTGTAAATGTGAATTTGTGATCAGACTTACGTGATAAAACAAATTGCCTCCCACAAGCCGACATTGTAACGTGACAGTGCATGTTACAAAAACAACCTCCAGTTCCTGTAAAAAAGATTGCTTATATGAAGCTCTTAGCTAAAAGTAAGTACTTACAAGCTATCCAGCTACTACAGCCAAATTCCCCTAGCTAATCTCCACACTTCTTACAAGAAATGTTGAAAGATAATAACACATGAAGACAAGCTGCCTTTCAGAATCTTCTTTTTAAATTCTTCCAACATGAACATGTATGCTTCATTACGCTAGGACGATATGAAAAGCTGGATGGTTATTCATGCTGATGTTTTGTTTAGTAGAAATTTACTTCAGGGGTGGGCAGGGGGTCAGAAGGGGAGGTAAGATCATTGTAGGAGAAAAGGGGGTTGAAGGACTTGGGGGTTCAGAGGCCCCCTGCCTCACCCTCAGTCTCCACCACCTCTCCCTAGAAGACTAGCTCTACTAACAAATACATATAATACTTTTTATAAAACAACTACCTCCTTCTTGTGACTCGCTATACATGTAGTGCTGAATACAAATACTTTCCCAAAATATGAATGGGACTATAATTATGCAATAACTATTGTTAAAACAGCAATAGTAAGCTGTTCTCATCCACAGGTATTTAGTTGCATGAATACATGCGTTTGAAGGCATTTTCATGTCCTTAATCACAGTCCAACAACTGCAAGAAATCTTACATCAAGTTCATCGATGTGACTACTGAGTACAACTACGCCTGGAAAACACGAGCTCTACAGAACATTACATCAATTATTATACAAAGGGCTAATAATAATAATAATAATAACAACAACAACAACATTAACAATAATAATAATAATAATAATAATAAGTATTATTATAACTGTTAGAAGTCCAGAGTTGGCAAAAATCACCAACTACTTTGTGATCTTGGCTGGCTACTCTGCTAGGCTTTCCTTCATCTGATCCTTTAGAAAATGATGAATCAGCACTTGAGGGGTGGACTCCCATAAAAAAGGGTGGGGGTGCTTGTCCCAAATTTTGAAAAAAAACCTAAGAGGTGTCAAGATCCTGTTTTGTGGGCGTGGCTTGAAATCCCCCCCCCCCCCCCCCCCC